GACGTCACTCAGCAGGTGTCACATGGGGCGCTGCTGGGTTCGGATCAGAGCTGCTCTGGTTCTGTTGCTTCTGTCTGAACCGTCTCCACCCTGTGTTTATATTGGGGGGTTAATATAAATCTTTCCATTTTTTTTTTTTTTTTTTTATCTGTATTTTTGTTCCTCGCTTCAGGCGCTGAAAGACGCCGCATCATGTGCGTCATCCCCCCCCCCTCCTTTAATCCTCCATCGGTCTGAATCACCTACTTTTCTCCTTCGCCTCCATCCTTCTTCAGCTGCTCCTCCAGCTCCTCCGCTGCTGCTCCTTCTGTTTTCACGCAGTAGGAGCGGCGCGGCGCGGCGAAGGGCGCGGCGGCGCGGAGGGCCGCAGCGGCGGCAGCATCTCTGGGTCCAGAAGCGAAGCGGCGAAGGCTCCCGGGCGCCGCGGACCAGCTCTGCTCGGTGCGGCGGGGGAAGGGACGTTTGACGGCGGCTTGGAGACACTCCTTCAGGGCTGTGGAGAACCTGAAATGGAACATCTCAATCCTGTCCGGCTGTGAGGGAGAAACGTGTCCGGCTGACGAGAAGCTGCTTCTGGGAAGGAGGAGAATCAGAGGGTCGATGAGTCACCCGACACCGCGCTCCAAAAATAAATACCGCCGTCTGGCCCCGCCCTCCTCCTTTCTGATTGGTGGAAACACTTCCGCTTCTCTTTCTTCTTCGTTTTCTTCTGCTTCTTCTCTTCTTTTATGGCGGCTGGCAAACAACTTTAAGGTTCATTACCGCCACCTTCCGGACTGGAGTGTGAATCAAACATTAAATTATTATATTCTGCCCATTCTTCTTTAAAAATCCTAAAAACTGCATCCCAGATTATTTCTGAAGGAATCCCTTATATCTAATTTATTCTTCTTCCTATCTAACTCCCTATTTTCTTTCCTGATCATTTTTATTACATTCTAAAAAAAATATGCTGTTTCTAATAATTCACAATAATTACAAAACCCCGTGCTATGCTTATTATTTTATTTAATATTTTTTTTATTATTTTAGTATTAACATTCTATTTATTATCATTATTTTATTTATTCCTGTAAGTCCACATCTTATTCTAGATATAAGATCTTCTTCTTTTTAAATTCTATATTTTCTTAATTCTCCAACCTTTTTTTGAACACTATAATAAAATTTAAAATTCCCTCATTTATCCCACTGTTCTTGCCATTTCTTCTTGATTTACATTTTACAAATTTTTACTTATTTTAATATTTAAATCTTTTAAATATTCTTTTTTGCAGCAGTCTTATCAAACCAACTCATTCCCTTTAACTCTGGGCAGGAATCCAAACTAGTTTAACATGAGAACCATCGTGTTTAATCCTAAAAATTGAGTGAATAATCTCTAATATAATATCTTGTCTTGATTCTGAATTCAACTTTATAATATTTATTAAAGCACTACTTGAATCTAAACAAATGTTATTCTTTTATTTCTCGTAATATTTCAATCTGGAATTAAAAATGCAAAACCTACTTTTCCATTAAACATTTTAGAAGCATCTGTAGAAATTTCTATAGATTCTGAATATGATTCACCGGCGCGCTGAGTCCCTCTGCTGGTCAACAGTAAAACTGCACCTATCAGCATCCCTCATAGGATGGAGGCCTGAAGAGAAAATATCTAAAAAATAAACTTATGAAATAAAATACTAAAGTTGTGTTGGTGAAATATATTTATAATAAACTTTTGTTTATTATTATTATTATTTCTTTATGTAACAGGCTTTGATTTGATCAATATTATAGATGTCAAAGTTTGTTTATTGATTCTTTAAATACTTTATTCAATCAAAACAAATATTTTCTCCTGCCATTAACAAAATTTATGCTGCTCATAAGAGTTGCTGGTTGCCACAGCAACCACTAACTGACATCCTTTTATCTGTCAGTGTGTTACTGTGGCCTGCAATAGGTCAGCGGTGTGTTTTCTTTACCAATATTTTATTTTAACATGTATTATAATCTAGTTTATTAAAAACAGGTTTTATATGTTATGTTGCCACTTTTATTGTGTTTTTTGTCTGTTATTTTTGTGTATTTAGAATAATGTTCACTGGGAAACTTCTCTGTAGGTTGTTTAAGGTTATTTATTGAAAAATGCAGAATTAACCAGAATAAGAACATCTGGAAGTTTTTCTCCGTCTGTAGAGTTTATATGCTAATTAAATATGAAGAATTATTAATCACTTTAAATCTCATGATAGCCTTTAATAACATGAAACAGTTTGATAATATATCATAGATCTAACTTCACATAAGAAGCACAATAAAACAATCAGACAAAAGTTAAAAGAAAAATTGCTTCAGTCTGGAATCAGTTTCTGGTCTTCAGGTTATTAATTATTCCTGATGTCTGATTGGCCAATAGAAGCTTCAGGAAACCTTCCTGCTGTTTTTACTGGATGCTTTATGATTAGTGACTCCACAGATCTGAGGAACCAGGAGGCCCCTGAGGGCCTGAGAAGCTTAACCTGGCAAACATTTAAAATGACTCATAGCCTGTGAAGTGACTATTTGATCAAAACAAAAATAAAAAAAAACTTAAGAGTTAAAGGTGATCAAACCAAAAGGTGAATTTAACTCAAATAGTCACCTGATGCAGCCTGGATTCTGACTTATGGCGTCTAAAAAGATTTTTAAAAAGGGTCAAAATCCAGATCTTTGTTTTATTCTCTGTTCAGACAAAACAGGTTACAGGATTTACAGGATTCTGCTACTGATCTTTGACTGACTGACTGACTGACTGACTGACTGACTGACTGACTGATTGACTGGTAGCAGTTTATTGGAGGTCGAAGCTCCTGTCAGACTGAACGCAGGGCTGAAAAAACCCAGGAAGCCGCTGCCGTCGCGTCACCGTGACGTCATCGCCACCTCCAGAGTTTCCAAAGTTGCCACGAAAGCAGAGCGGGATGATGTGGAGGTTGGCTGGCTGCATCTTCTGCGTGTTTCTGTCCTGGCCGCTCGGTTCGGGGCCCTCAGGGGCCGCAGCGGGGGCCCCAGAGGAGGCCCCGGAGGAGCAGGTCCGGATCGAGGTTCTGTTCAAGCCGGAGGAGTGCGGCAGGAGGAGCAGGAAAGGAGATCTGATCAACGCTCATTATGACGGCTACCTGGCGGAGGATGGCTCCAAGTTCTACTGCAGGTGAGTCCCACTGGGAGCGGAGCAGGAACTGGGAGCACTGGGTGGAGCAGGGCATGCATACTGGGAGCTGGACCAGTTAGATCAACTGGTTTCCAGCCAGCAGTGATGGGGAGATGAAGCCTCATTGAACCGTTAAACCCCGCAGACCAAGAAGCTCCATGTGAAAATGTCTCCATCTGCTGGAGGAAAGCAGAACTACAGTTAGTAATATAATCTAATTGTTTTTCTTGCTTTTTTCCCCATTTAAGTTCCTTTGGAATTGTTATTGATTGTTGTGTATAATATATTTTGTAATTTTTGTAAAATGTCTTAGAAGAGAACAATCATTTAAGGTTCACAGTTTTTCTGCCATTTTAGTGAAATACCGTCACACTTGCAATGGTGCTCAAAATGGAAAGTTTTAGCCATTCTTATTCAAACATTATAGTTTTCCCACAGTTTTTGGTTTTAATCTGGTTGGAAGTTATGGTTCAACCAACCTTTTGGCTAAACCAACCTCTCTAATTTGGCTGAGTTTTTACCCAATCTCTAATTTTACTGGGCAAACCAATACAAATTGGTCTCATTAGCCAAAATACTTAAGTATAATCGCAACTTTCAAAAGTGACAGGTGGGTCTGGAACCTTCAACCTCACGAGTGGAAGTCAGTGTCTAACAGACGACACCATTAACACTGATATCTATCCATTGGAGAGCAATACTAATTAACACTAAAGTTACATCTGTGTAACCAAAGTAGTTTTAACCAACTAGATTGGTTGGAAAAACAACCAATCTATTCTTAGAATCTATCCAAACTCTATCCCGCTGACAGCAGCTCTCCTTTCAAACTCCATCATCTTGACTGAACACTGAGGCTGTTTAAATGCCTGTCAAAGTTCTCGAACTTTCTGAACATTTCCTGAAGTGGTTACCTGGTCTCACGGTAGCGAGGCTTCAGACGTCAACAGTTTTAGCCCCTCCCCTAAATGAATCACGCCTGTACACGGGCTTCGGGGAAACGCCCCCTTCATTCCTCGCACACGCCTCGAAGCCTCGGCTCGTCTCATAATGTCAGTAGTTCTGCCCAATGCCAGGTCAGAGAGACCTCAGCAATGAGCTGAGGCATGGAGGCGGACTGGCCTAGTCAAAGACCAGGCCTCGTCAAAGACCAGGCCTCAGTGCTGCTGGACCCTGTGATGTCCTGATATGTCGGGTTCTCAAACTGATTGGAGGTTCTGGTTCTGTCCCAGCCGCCACGACAAAGAGGGCCACCCGCAGTGGTTCGTCCTGGGCGTGGGGCAGGTCATCAAAGGCCTGGACATCGGCATGATGGACATGTGCGCCGGAGAGAAGAGGAAGCTGACGGTTCCGTCGACTCTGGCGTTCGGAACTACAGGAAAAGGTGGGTGGGTTAACAGGAATCGGACCCTCAGCCAGCTGGAGGTCAGAGGTTAACAGGAGATTCAGAGGTTCTTGGTTTGTCCTGATGGTTCTTCTGTTTCTTTTCGCAGCTGCGTGTCGCCTGGCATTTAGCGTGAGCATGCTCAGAGGGCTTTTCTTTGCATGAACAGAAAACTAACTGCTGTATCTGCGCCGCCTGAAGGGGGCGCTGCCTCTCAGGTTGGAACTGGCCTTCAGCACCTTGGGTTGTTGCAGTTTTTCCCTCATCTGCAGAGAGCTGCATGTCGTCAGCGTAGAGGCGAATCTTTTTCTCTGTTTCGTTTCCCTCCTGCTCAATGATTCGTAGGTTCCGATCTTTAGCCGTGGGTTCTGACGTCTTCTGACGCATTTCAGGTCCGGTTCCTCCTAATGCCACCGTGGTCTTCGAGGTGGAGGTGTTCTCCGTGTCCAGAGGGCCTCGCAGCATGGAGGCCTTCCAGCAGATGGACCTGGACAAGGACAGAAGTCTGGATAAGGCTGAGGTAACCGTGGTCTGCTGGAACCCAGCGGCTCTTCGCCTTTTATGGTCAAACATGGCTTCCAGGGAGGGGCCGATTTACCTTTCGGCTAAACTAGGCGGTAGCCTGGGGCCCCAAGTTCCTCGGGGCGCCATAAAACTCTGTTTACATGTCTAGTTAATACAACTATTCCTTATTTGTGCACATTAATTATATTTTTGATAAAAATCCTTTGGCTAAAAGTCGTACTGCCCCCTCCCACACCTGTTGCTATACACCCTGAGTCAGAAAGCTAAACAAACAAAGCAAACTGTCTGAGGTCCAGGAGGCTCTCCAGGACCTCCAGGCTCTCCAGGACCTCCCGGTCCGTCCCTCCTTCTGTTCAGGTTTCTCTTCCTCTTTAAGTCTGATCCTGCATTAAAAGGTTCAAACCAGGTGGACTGAAACTGGTTCTGTTGCTTCCAGGTGAAAGAGTACCTGAAGCTGGAGTACGAGAAGGGCGGGAAGCCTCGGGAGGAGCCGTTCTACGAGAAGCTCCTCACCGACATCTTCTGGAAGAGCGACCAGGACGGCGACGGCCTGATCAGCGCCAAGGAGTACAACATCTACGAGCGGGACGAGCTCTGAAGCTCCGCCTGCTTCTGGGGAGAGAGAACTGGGTGAAGTGGAACCAGCCCGGCGCCGCCGGGTTCCGGACTGATCCAAACGTCTTCCTCTGATCCCTGATTAATCCTCCGTCTCTCTGCCGTCTCATCCAATCAATGCAGAGACTGAAAACTGTGATTTTATTTTAGTTTTTTTACGGTTTTGGACCGATACCAGAAGCGGCGGCTTTAGGTTCTACAGACGGGAACCCAGATAAACCTTTAGAGTCCAGAGACGGCGGGCAGAACCGGAGAGAAACGGACCCGTCCGGACCGGGCCTCTGGCAGAATCAGATCAGAACCACTTATTGGACGAAAATCACTGAATTAATAAAAAAGTGACAAACTTTCTGTTTTTATTTGGTATTTATTTCATTGTTGATCCATTAAGATAAAAAAAATACAACCACAAGGTCATTAAGAGGATTATAAGAAAACAGCGGTGGTGTCAACAGTTCACACATTTATTACTTCAGTAGAAGTATAGATGCTGCAGTTTAAAAACACTCTGGTAAAAGTTGAAGGATCAACTTGACCTTTTTACTCAAGTAAAAGTGAAAAAGTATGTGCTCCAAAAACTACTTAAAGTATAAAAGTATAAAGAAACCTTTAATAAAAAACAGACAGATGCCGCTATATGAACTGAAAGCTCAATATTACGACTATTTCTATAAATCCTCTGAGATAGGGCCAAGGATGAGGGAGGTCTTGTTGGTCTCCGTCTCCCGATACGCTCTCGCCTGTGTCCGACCTTTCAGACATTTCAACATGTTTTTCTGAATCCCACATTGTAGCATGGCATAGACAATTCACGTTAGCAGTTTGAAGAACACCTGCTTGCTTCTGATGATTTCCTTTAGCATCCAATGAGTGTTTGCGTTCTATGACTCATCCAATCAAACTAGTTTTCACTAGATGTGGGCGGAGCCAATGATCTGCATTGGATGGAGCACATCCAATGCATCTATAAATCCATCTATAGCCGATGGATCCTATAGTTTAGTCTGCAGACTAACATTAGTCTGGCTATCTCAGACTGACTAGAAGACATTGAGTTAGACACTGACATTGGGTCTAACGTTAGAAAATAGACAGTAGAGGAAATAGAAAGTCATTCTTTATTCAGTGGATGATGCCGTCGTTTCTGGTTTATTTCTCAATTGAAAAAGTCATGAAATATAACAGGTTATATTGA